TGCATAAATTATTTCCTGTATGCACGACAGGAAAGCATTGGGCGGGAGAGAGGGGAGCAGGATCGGCAAAGGACCTCAAGACGGGAATCGAACTCGGGTCACTATAAGCGCAGTCGCGCTGTAAGTCGACACACTAACCACGAAGTTATTGGCGCTGACTTGTCAGCTATTTTAAATTTTAGTCCCATGTTAAATGTCCTTGTTAGTTTTTATCATATTTAGTCAACCTTATCCTATTTAGTTTTAGTCAAGTTTTAGTCGACATGCCCCCGGTTTCACAGACAAGGCTTAAGCCTAATTTAAGATCTTAAAATATATCAGTGCCTTTGTTTTGTCTCAAGATGCACACCAGTAATATTTTTTTCTAAGGCATGTTTATAAAAATTACTTAAATGTCCTAATTAAACTATAGCTTTTTGGTGGGGGGGGGGGGGGGGTGTCTTTTATGCATTTATGCATAAATTATTTCCTGTATGCACGACAGGAAAGCATTGGGCGGAGAGAGGGGAGCAGGATCGGCAAAGGACCTCAAGACGGGAATCGAACTCGGGTCACTATAAGCGCAGTCGCGCTGTAAGTCGACACACTAACCACGAAGTTATTGGCGCTGACTTGTCAGCTATTTTAAATTTTAGTCCCATGTTAAATGTCCTTGTTAGTTTTTATCATATTTAGTCAACCTTATCCTATTTAGTTTTAGTCAAGTTTTAGTCGACATGCCCCCGGTTTCACAGACAAGGCTTAAGCCTAATTTAAGATCTTAAAATATATCAGTGCCTTTGTTTTGTCTCAAGATGCACACCAGTAATATTTTTTTCTAAGGCATGTTTATAAAAATTACTTAAATGTCCTAATTAAACTATAGCCTAATCCTGGCTTAGTCTAAGCCCTGTTTGTGAAACCAGGCCTAAAAGTCTCAACATTTTAGTCTAGTTTTAGTCAATGAAAACTTGACATTTTAACAAGATTATTATTAATTAACCGCACAACAGTATTAATTTTGGCAGCCATTTGTAATTTAGTCTTACTCAAATGTACATTTTAGTTATCATATTTAGTCAATCTTTTCCTGTTTTTGTTTAGTCAAGTTTAAGTCGACGAAATGTATGAGCATTTTAGTCACATTTTTGTCATGCTGTATAATGGTTAAACTGATCAAAATTATTTTTGCTCAATTATAATTGTAATGATTGTTGTCATTTGAGAAATTTATTTTGCATTTCAGTTATTGCAATTTCACCAGTAAGCACAAATCAATAGAATGTGGACTTCTAGTGTACTGATTTAGGCTATTATAGGCTTTTTATTATATAAATTAATACCAAAGATTTATGCACTCTCTCTGTCTACATTATGAAAACTGGTAAAACAAACGAAAAATGTTGTAACAGTGAAATTCCTAGTAATTCCAAATTGCAATAGCCTAGTTCTCTATTAAAACAACAGCGGTTCAGTAAGTGCATTTATTCAGCAACCACAATTGCAAACAATATAGTCGAGAAGTCAGACTGGCTGACTTTCATTTAGATCGCTAAGCTCCAGCTTGTTTGTCGTGTTTTTTAGATCATCGGCGCCGGCACTTCCGCAATGAAGAGCGAGCGCGTGCGCATGGTTGCCAGATTGCTTAAAATAAGCAAAACACTGGGCAGAAAATGTATCCTTATAACAGCGAAGCTCTGATTCGGGGATTTGACCTCTTGAATATCTGGCAACTGCACACATGAAAGCTCGCGTAGTAGAGGCGTGTAGAGCAGTCCGCAATAACATTTTGTCTCCTTTTTTTTGATGAAAATAAAATGAGGTTTTTGGTAAAGTTTTTATTTTTTGAATACATTTTAGTCTAGTCTTTTTTCATCAATGAAATTGCATGCTGATATAGTCATAGTTATCGTTTATTGACCTTATTGTCGTCTCGTCTTCGTCTCGTCTTAGTCATGGGAAAAAAGCTCGTCAACGAACATTTTTTCATCAGTTTTCATTAATGAAATTAACACTATTGCATACAAAACTAATTTCAAACACTGAAGTGATTAAATTATTTTTTTTAAAAGGAGAAATGAAGAGAAAAGGACAAAGTCAGTCCAGTGTTATTTTAGTATTATTTATATTATAGTATATATTGTTATTTTGTCATTTTAATTTTAATTTAAGTTTTAGTAATTTTGTTATGTGCTTCTGGCCTTTTTATTGTTATTATTATTATTATTATTTAATTTCAGTTCTAATTTTAGTCATTTCATCACATCAACTTTGTATCTATTTTGGTTAGTTATCAAGGCAACATTCTTATTGATATTTTTAAGTTTCAATCTATTATTTATACTTTTTATACTCTTTATTTCAGCTTTATTTCAATTAACAAAAACATTCATTTTAACAGTCAGTCAAGTGTGTCCATATGTTTGACTGGTAGTCTATGTTTAAAAACATTAACAATGACTGGTTATCACCAGCAACTCACCTCCTCGACAAGCCTGAATGAAGAACATCTTTGGCTTATTCTGGAGCAGGGGGCAGCGGGCGTTATCAAAAACCTCAAACACCCAGTCCAACTAAGAGACAGAGAGAGAGAGAGATGTTTGAAACTCTGATATGTAAAAGAATCTTCTGCAAGGCAATACATTTACTTCAAATGGAACTCACATACTGATAAAATCACACCTGTATGTATAACTAAGAATTAGTAGTGTCAGAACTGGAAAATCAGGAAGCACTTTAAATAGACTTTTTAAAAACTTAGTAAAAAGTTTTTTTTGTATAATTGTATTAACATTACTGCACCAATAAAAAAAAAAAAATAAAAAAAAAAATTAAGTTTTAGCTGAATTTTTTTAACTCTGATATGTAAAAGAATCTTCTGCAAGGCAATACATTTACTTCAAATGGAACTCACATACTGATAAAATCACACCTATATGTATAACTAAGAATTAGTAGTGTCAGAACTGGAAAATCAGGAAGCACTTTAAATAGACTTTTTAAAAACTTAGTAAAAAGTTTTTTTTGTATAATTGTATTAACATTACTGCACCAAGAAAAAAAAAGAAATCAAAATTAAGTTTTAGCTGAATTTTTTTTTTTTTATAATTAATGGTTACACTTTATTTTAAGGTGTCATTGTTACAGTGTACTTATACATTTAAGTACTGAGTAATATTAATTTACTACATGTACTTACTATATGGTTAGTGTTAGGATTAAGGTTTGGCTTAGGGTTAATTGCATGTAATGATGCATAATTAATTGTTATTATAATAGTAAGTACATGTAACCTGTGTAACAAAGACACCTTAAAATAAAGTGTTACCTAATTAATCGATTTTATTTAAAAATCAACAAGTTGCACACAGTTTTTATGTTAACTATTTAATAACAGAATTACGTTTCTACTCCGATTTGTCATTGAAATACAAACATTTTTTAAATGGTGGCTGTAACAAAAACTTTTCATTACTGATTTATTTGAACATACATTAAGTAATGAAGACAACAGGTTAATTAAAAATATAATAGCTATATAATATAATGCATTTTTCACAAAATCAGTAAAACGCTAATTAAACCACTGTTTTGGCCAATGATTTTGGCCTTTCTGAATTTTTCGGTTGCCAAAATGTTGGTCCTTCACTAAGAATTAGGTATTAAAATCATGCGCACCTCCAGCAGCTGTCCATCAGTGCCGTAGACAGATCCCTCAACTCCATGTGACAGTAAACACACAACAGTGCAGTCATACTGTGCATGCTCCTGCCGCTGGGCAAACTGCTCTAGGCACCTGCGCATTGCCTGAAAAACACAAATCAAAACCTTAATAAAAGACTATTCTTTGCAGTGCAGTCTGACTCTGTCAGCGTGTCTAACTCACCTCTGCAGTTAGGTCTTTGTGCAGGCTAACTGTGAAATCCAGTTCCATGAAAAGTCTCCGCAGCGTCTCCTCATCCACCTCTCCTCCCCTCCGGATGTCTAAATCAGTGTTAGCCGAGTCAAACCTCACGTTACTCAGTACCAAGGCAAGTCCTCGTGGGCAGGAGCGCATTGGGTAAGCCTGAAAGGAAAGACATTTGCGTAGAGGTTACACACTGTGCTAACATAGCGTAAAATATATGCAAATAAAATGGGTTGTGTGTGTGTGCGCAAAGGAATAGGGTTTGTGTCCTTGTACCTGTGATCTATGGGACTGGTAAAATTCCGGCATGCAGGGAAGAACAGCTGTGGTCACAGGAGAGTCGGCATCCAAACACATCTCCATGGACTCTAAAACACACAAAAACAACCCCATTTAGCTCAAAAATATTAGACTCATCTAACATAACAATTTGCCTTTATGTACTGTACTTTCTTCTATGACAGTTAATGTAAACAAGCATTGTCATTGCTAACTAAAACTACAACTAAATATGTTTATTAACTGAAATAAGGCTGAAACAAAATTAAATATTAAATAAAAAATGTAAATACTGTAAATATTGCCTTGGCACCTGAGATAAATACACCTTGATAAACCAATAACAATGATTTTAGAGTTTCAGGACAGATTTTGCTGGAAATCGCATACAGTGCAAAAGTACTCATACCCCTTGAAATTTTCCACATTTTGTCACGTTACAACCACAAACGTAAATGTATTTTAAGTCTTATTTTATGTCATAGACCAACACAAAGTGGCACATAACTGTTAAGTGAAAGGAAAATGATAAATGGTTTTCAATTTTTTTTACAAATAAATATCTGAAAAGTGTGGCGTGCATTTGTATTCAGCCTCCTTTACTCTGACACCCCTAACTAAAATCCAGTGGAACCAATTGCCTTCAGAAATCACCTAAATTTAATTTCGGTATAAATGCAGCTGTTCGGTGAAGCTCTCAGAGGTTTGTTAGAGAACATTAATGAACAACCAGCATCATGAAGTCCAAGGAACACACCAGACAGCTCAGGGATAAAGTTGTGGAGAAGTTTAAAGCAGGGTTAGGATATAAAAAAATATTCCAAGCTTTGAAAATCTCATGGAGCACTGTTCAATCCATCATCCGAAAATGGAAAGCATGTGGCACAACTGCAAACCTTCCAAGACATGGCCGTCCACCTAAACTGACAGGCCGGGCAAGAAGATCATTAATCAGAGAAGCAGTCAAGAGGCCCATGGTAACTCTGGAGGAGCTGCAGAGATCCACAGCTCAGGTGGGAGAATCTGTCCACAGGACAACTATTAGTCGTGCACTCCACAAATCTGGCCTTTATGGAAGAGTGGCAAGAAGAAAGCCATTGTTGAAAGAAAGCCATAAGAAGTCCCGTTTGCAGTTTGCCAACAAGCCATGTGGGGGACACAGCAAACATGTGGAAGAAGGTGCTCTGGTCAGATGAGACCAAAATTGAACTCTTTGGCCTAAATGCAAAACGCTATGTGTGGCAGAAAACTAACACTGCACATCACACTGAACACACCATCCCCACCGTGAAACATGGTGGTGGCAGCATCATGTTGTGGGGATGCTTTTCTTCAACGGGGACAGGGAAGCTGGTCAGAGTTGATGGGAAGATGGATGGAGCCAAATACAGGGCAATCTTAGAAGAAAACCTGTTAGAGTCTGCAAAAGACTTGAAACTGGGACGGAGGTTCACCTTCCAGCAGGACAACGACCCTAAACATACAGCCAGAGCTACAATGGAATGGTTTAGATCAAAGCATATTCATGTGTTAGAATGGCCCAGTCAAAGTCCAGACCTGAATCCAATTGAGAATCTGTGGCAAGACTTGAAAATTGCTGTTCACAGACGCTCTCCATCCAATCTTACTGAGCTTGAGCTAATTTACAAAGAAGAATGGGCAAACATTTCACTCTCTAGATGTGCAAAGCTGGTGGAGACATACCCCAAAAGACTTGCAGCTGTAATTGCAGCGAAAGGTTGTTCTACAAAGTATTGACTCAGGGGGGCTGAATACAAATGCACGCCACACTTTTCAGATATTTGTAAAAAAAAATTGAAAACCATTTATCATTTTCCTTCCACTTCACAGTTATGTGCCACTTTGTGTTGGTCTATGACATAAAATACATTTACGTTTGTGGTTAACGTGACAAAAGGTGGAAAATTTCAAGGGGTATGAGTACTTTTGCAAGGTAAAATGTGTATTACGTAATAACCACACAGAGAAAAAAAAAAGACCTACATTAATCACCAATTTTAAAAAGTAATTTATATGACCATCTTCTTTGATAGAAGATGTGTACAACAGTATCAGATATTTGGCATAGAGTGTGCATGACATAAATCTCATAATTAGCATAGTATGCACAAAGCCTGGTTTATCTTTGTTCAGTAAAGTGCTCACCATGAGTCCGGGCTCTTTTCGCAGGTATAACACATTCCTGAGTTGGAAAGGACAGCGATGGCTCTGAAAAGCTTTTCTGTGAAGATAAAAAAAACAAAACAGAAAATCACTTTTCTACACTAACTACATACACAACATGCAGAATATACACCACGCTGACAGTTACAGTCAGTTCATTATCCTCTATTACAAAGGAAAGGAGAGTTTGTATTTGTTTGGTTTTTGTTTGAAAGAATCAGTGCAGTTTGGGTGTGGTAATAAACTGGTGAATAATACTGACATTGCTGCATTGTAACTTCCCCTTTAGTCCTACTCTCTCTCCCTCTCTTTTATTCCACTGACCTCTGTGGGAAAATAAAAAATACTTCATATAGTTGATTATACATAGTAAAATCTAATAAAAATGTCAATATAAAGAAAACAAATATGCTTTATTCTCCTTCCATTATGTGCAAAACATCAAGGAGATAGAAATGTTTTTCCTATCTGTTTCCCTGGTTCTCATCAGATGTGCTGTCATTGCTAGACTTTTCCGGTCCCTCACTGCATGATCACTGCAACCATTATGTTCTTATAGAAACCTGTCAAGTCAGTCTAAGTGGGTGTGATTCTGAAGTGAAGGCACCAACTCACATCTCTCTCAGTAAAGTCCATGAGCAGTCTGCAGAGATGCTGTTGCTCTGTTGCCGTAAGAGCAGCACAGAAGCTGCTGAATGCTCGAGGGCCACGTTTAGGCAAAAGAAACAACAAATGATGACTCTTTCCCTGGGATGTCGGTCTAGCCTGAAAGGATTCAAATTTCACCATGGTTAAAAATAATCAAAGCTTTATACATTAGGACTGTTAAAACAATCAATCGATCCATATATATATATATATATATATATATATATATATGAACCTGGACCACAAAACCAGTCATAAGGGGCAATTTTTTAAAATTGATATTTATACATCATCGCAAACGGTTGCTGTTTACGGTGTTTATTACCACGACAACCGTCCGAGTCTGTGGCGCCTGCAGGCGAGTACCATGAGCGCTCAGACTGACCTGAGATTTGCCCCAAACATTTCAGCAGTTATTATAGGCCTGTGTGTCCCGTATTTCTGTCGACTGAACCCATGCCGTTCATTATGAATTTATCAGTCTTTTGCATGCCAAAGTCAATAACAGACGATTCATTGCCGATTATGAACGCGATTTTGCATAGCTTGTCAGTGATATATGGCTCTGTGTAGTAAATGCCGCACCATCTGAAAGCACATGCTGGAGATTTACTACTAATCACAGAACCGGCTTTACTGACGAGATGAGCATGAAAATCGCATTAAATTTTTTGCACAGCCCTACATGGCAGAACAACTGTTTGTCGCGGACAACAAAGTGATGTAATGCTACGTTTTATAATAAATGATAAGACATTTGTTCTTTGCTTTGTTTTATTTTAAATAAGGTGTAACATTAAAGGTGACATATCATGAAAATCTGACTTTTACAGGTTTTAAGTGCTATAATCAGGTCCCATCTACGGTGCATCTACCAACCAAGGAAACGTGAAAAAGATTAACCCAGTAACTTTGTTTTGGTAAGCCTTTTTCTGCAAGCATCTGAGAAAACTAGCATTTCGCTCCCTTGGTGACGTGGCAAAGGGATCTCATTATAATATTACCGCCCCTTAATCTGTAAGTTTACACCCACGGCTCCGTCATTTTGATTTCGCAAGTGACAACCTGTACCAGTTTTAACGCCATGGCAAAAGTTTGAGCAAAACTTGCTAACTGTTCTGTCTTTGGCTGTGCAAAGAGCACAGAACACTATTTAGAGTCCCAGCCTCAGAGGAGACAAGAGAGCAGTGGATTTATTGATTTATTTACTGTATATTGCTGCTGCCGCACAGATCTAAAATAAACATGCGATTTATTTCCCAGCCTACTATTTTCACAGACATAACTGACTGTTTTTGTAACTCGTGTGTTTTTAACGTAAACTTGTGTGTGAACGAGAACTTAGTTTAGTACTCACATGCTGTCTGGTGGCCACTTTCTGTCCGTGTGCTTCGGTTGTGTGCGCTCAGAAAACCGTACATCAGATGTTTAAACTAATATGGTTTAAAATGCATGATTTCAGCGCGATAAACATGATAATTGGAACCAAAACAGATGTTTTTTGCAGGTCCGAGCTGTAATGGTGCAGCTCTATTCTGGAAAAGGGGGCGGGGAGCAGCAGCTCATTTGCATTGAAAGAGACAGGCCCGAAAAACAGCATGTTTCTGCTTCCACTCAAAACAGGCATTTTCAAAATGATATAATAAATGATCTGTAGAGTATTTTGAGCTGAAACTTCACGGACATATTCTGGGGACACCAGAGACTTATATTACATATTGTAAAAAGGGGCATAATATGTCTCCTTTAAAAAATATTATGGATGTAACGGTATGAAAATTTCTTATCACGATTATAGTGACCAAAATTATCACGGTTATCAGTATTATCACGATATTGTTAAATTGTGATGGAGATGTTCAAAAAGTACCGAAACATAAATCACTTCACTAAGTTTTATATTTAAAAATCAACAAACAACAAATAAAATGACTTTTTGTTTGCATAATCACTAAAACAATAACATTACCAATGATGTTCGGATTTTAAATGACAACTTGACTGACAACAGTTTAATAGCATGTTGAAATATCTAATGTAAATGTTTAAATTAAGCTTTGAAAAAGTTTCATAAAAAGGTAAACCTCACATTTCAGCCTTTAAATAAAGAAAATATACAAGTCAAAATTATAATTGATTAATAAAGGATTATATGTATTTTATCTGCTCCATAAATAATTTTAGATAACTTATCTGAATGGTTTAAACATAAGCTTGTTTTTCATCAACCGGTCAAAATTTACAGCAGGGCATGCAAATTCGGTCCGTTTTTGGCCAGACAGAAACTGCACACAGGCTGAATGTAAATGTAAGTCTCAGTAAATCCACTCGCTGACAGCAGGTGGCGCTTACGGAAAAGCTGTTTCCCATAAACTCCGTGGACAAAGCAGTATTGTGATTATCATTTGTATAATTCCCTTAGCACTCTTTTAAAACCTCCCAGCTTTTCCGCCCCGTTTTCACTCAAAACTAAACTACTCTGCGTGCTGTGCGCACGTGACACTGTTACTTAAAACTGTACTTTATGCTGGACAGTATTTATTTATTGCGAGTTGTTCAAATCGCGGTAATCTAATACGGTTTTAATGATAATTAAAAGATGAAACGGTAATACTAACCGTGGGGAATTTTATCATGATACGCCTACGCCGTAGGCTATGCGTCAGTTTTCATTTATACTTCTGCGTCGTTGTCCGCGTCAACGTGCAGTACACATGCAAACCGCTAGTCAGCAGTGTCCACAGGCATGTTGCTGGTGTAACCCGCAGTACCACGACAAAAGCCAAAGAAGAAATGGCTCGTCGGAGAAGTATTATTGCCGTGACGGCGGCAAATTAATATCAAATCATTAAATCGTTATTTAAAACTACAAAAAGGAGACAACAATGGAACAGGAGATGATGGCATTCTTTCAATCTGCACAAGGACTTGTACCATGGCAGATCAACATTGTTTGTTGCAGACAACTACTGATGTATAATGCTATGTAGTATAATAAATGATAAGACACTTGTTCTTTGCGTTGTTTTATTTTATATAAGAAGGTGTAACATTAAAATATATTAAAGTGCACATAAACACACACAAAACTCAAGTACATATGGAGGGAGGGGTTCTTGCAGACCAATCACAGCGCCTGCGGTCTGCGTAGAATTGACGCGCTGTTAGATTTTTGGAGAGGTGCACGTCAGGCTACGGCGTATGGGTGTGCGTCTATGCGTAAGCTACAGCGTAGGTCCGACGCAGAAGTTTAAATCAGCCTTTAATACTTTACACGTACCATAATGGTTTCAGCCATGTTTTCTGTAAGGATTCCATCTTGTTGCAGACACTGGATCAGCAGATCATCCACCACTAAGTCCTGCAGAATTGTGACAGAGTTCTTCCTGAGCGCTAGTCTCTCCCATTCTTTCATGCCACAATCTCCCAGCATGATGAACCTCTGAGTTTAAAAAAGGAAAGATAAGTAAAGACAGTTACAAAACATCCATTGCAAAAAACAGTTTATATAAAACTAATTTTGGTTTTCTTTTTTATCAAAAAAACAAAAGTGTTTAGCAACAAGGACATGTTTGATAAAATTTTGAAAGCACAATCCGCACAAGAGACGCTGTTCCTCAAATGTGTGCGCGGCACGCTCCAAAACGGACAAACAAATTAGACTTTGAGCTTCGGGTGCATGTCCAATCGATCAAATACACACAAAAATGTCAAAATGGCCGGCTTGGAGAGTATTTACTTAAATACAGTTGATGTCTTAAGTGGAGGAGAACAGTTGGGAGAAAATCCGATGTGTGTCAATATATTGTCTTAAAGTGACAGACTGGCGCTTGGGCCATCAAAATGCAAATCTGCTCTTAATCTGAATAACGTTATAGCTTTAATAAGCATTCATCTAGCAATACATACACTGAAAACTATGCAGTGTTCATTTACATTTGATTACTTTTAGATTTCTTTTGTAGGCTATTACTTACCTGAACAGTAATGTTAGTAGAACTTCATGGAAAAATGACAGCACTGTTTATTTCATTTCATTTGTATATTTGTTTTATTGTATTTGTCCGTTTGTTTAACTATGTTTCTTTGTCAATGTTCTTACTGTATCTTATCTTATGTATAAAACACTAAAAATGCCTGAACACCTGGTGCATATACAAATTGATGTTTTATATTCATTTCATGAAATATTTATTTTACATTTCAGAATATAAAGCAGGGCTCTACGGATACTTTTCTTTTTAGGAGCGCTTGTAAAAAATTTAGGAGCACGGTCAAAAATTTAGGAGCACCTTCT